CCCCAAAACCCCAAAACCCCAAAACCCCAAAACCCCAAAAAGATTCATAGCAAGTATGAATAGAAAATAAGAAATATATTATGTACCTTTTCAAGAATCACTAAGAATCTGCTTCGTATTCACTTAGTTAAAATAACCATCTACTGCTTCTCTGAAACTTAGCCAATCATTCATTCTGGAACAGAAAATCAGTTGTCCGCCGTAGATTTCAGAATAGGATTCGTTGACAACAAAGACAACAAATTTAAAGATGATCATGATTATGAGAATGGCAATGAGAATGGCAATGCAAACCCAAATCAATGAGATATTTTTATACCATAAGAAGCAATACACAACAACGAAAGATAAAAACCCATACGACAATAGCTCTCTTTTGGTAAATCCAAAGTTCAACGTTAAGACAGACTCAATTCATACAGGAGAGCAAAGATTGACAACAATTGCTTCTCATTTAAAAAAGATCCACAGCCCATAAAATACAAATATATTTACTGATATTGTTCTCATCCACTCAAGTCCTACTATGTATGTAATCACTACAGCAATTGAGAACAAAAGCATTTTGCAGTCATCATTTATCCTAAAAAAAGAAGTATCTTCCTAACAAGACAGCTGTATTAACCACAATATGGGCGATTTTACTGAGTATCTCCATAACATCTAGTCTTGATCTTTGATAATTCAGTAAACCATGATCTCGAACTGGATTTTGGATTTGCTCAGCTCTAATTATAATTCCTTCTTCTATATTAGCAGCATCACTTTCATTGTTAGAATCGAATGTGTCTATTCTACTTTCTGAATCTTCTTGAGAGTATTCATTTTCATCTCGATCTAGTATCGAAAGTCCACTCTGATCCACTTCAGAGTAATTTAATCCTAAAAAACTCTGAAAATAATCTACTGAATTTTTAGGGAGAGCATTGCCGCAGACGCATCTTGTCCTAAGTCTCGGTTTCAACTCTTTCATATTCTCCCATTTATTCAACGTACATTGAACTCAGTAGCTGCATTCTGGTTTGCATCCAAGTGGATCGTACTCCATCTCCCTTTGGCATTGCATACAAGTATTTGTCATTTATTTATTATTATTACTTGCTCAATTTTTTCCGCGCATAAAGGGGTTTTGGGGTTTTGGGGTTTTGGGGTTTTGGGG